GAAATACAGTATTAATGATTTAAAAAAATATTTTTAATAAAACGTAATTTTGCATAATTTTTATATTTTGTTTATTTCAAAATATTGCGCAAATTTTACAAAATATATTCATAATATTACAAAATATATTACATAGTATTACGCTATATTTCAAAATTTATTTCGCATTATTTCGCATTATTTCGAAATTTATTACGTAATATTCCGTAATTTATTTCGAAATACTCCACATCAATCGTAATTATTTCGAAATATTTTGGGACATAATAACTTACGTAAGTTTATAATTATATATTTTGCTGATATATCATCTACGAACTAATGAACTTGTAGAGCAATTTAATAGAATATTTTGTAAATCTTTTGCCAAAGTTAATACTATAATGATTAGAATACTTATCTAAATGCAGTTCTTTTGGCCTACTATATAAAAAAGTATAATACTACTAGATATACTTCTTTTCAATTACTATATAAAAGGCAAGCTACTCTTCTAATTGAAACTATTCTGCTTATACAAGAAACAGAAATTGATAAAATTGATCTACAAAGAAATATATTACAATGAGCCTATAAACTTATTAACAAGCTATCTACTACTTATGAACAAGCTTAACAAAATATTGCCAAATCACAACAAAAACAAATTGCTTAGCATAACAAGAAATTCAAGTATCATAACTTCAAAATAAAAGCTTTGGTTCTTGTTGCATACTCTGATATTGCTACATCAAGATTGGTAAAGTTTAAAGAAAAATTTAAAGGTCCTTATTATATATATCAGAAATTAGAAAATGGTGCTTATAAACTACAAACTAAAGAATATGACCGAGTTCTTAAGCTATATATTAATAGTCAACGACTTAAACTATACTATGATCAAACTTTATTTGAACCTACAATTATTATAAATTAGAAATAGAATATTAAATTATTAACTTAATAATTTATTCGTTAAATTTTATTTATTATTTATTTATTTATTATTTATTATATTATTATTATAACTTATTATTATTATTATTATTATTATTATTATTATTATCATTACTATTATTATCATTATTATTATTATTCTATGAACTATTTTAGACTTAAAATTTATTGCTTTATTACTATTTACAAAATATTACCAAAATAACTTCTATTCTGTTTATTTATATTTTGTCTTAACTTTTGGAGTTTGCTCTCCAAGTTAGCAACCCTAGTTCGCAACCTATTTCATTCCACAACTACTTGTCAGTGACAGGTTTCGTGTATATATTCTTCTCATATTGCTTCAAAGACCAGAAGATTCCTATGAAATTATAAAAATATATTGGCAAGACACTTATTCAAGAATACAACAAGCAAGGTCTATTACTTACTATATTAGTAGAAATAAGTTCTTAACCTACTCATACAAGGAACCACAAATATCGAAAATAAAAAAAGAAAAAGTATAAAGGGAAAATATCTACTCAGGCCAAATACATAACGCACCAAAGTAGAAGACTAACCAAAATCCCAAGTGCCTAAATTAGACGAGACTTAGTATATAGTCTGAAAAGTATATATACTATCGAACAATAAGCAAGAAACAAGTAAAAAAGTTTTTCAACAAGAAAAGTTTTAAACAACAAACTATTAGAAAAGAAACAGAAAAGTTAAAAATATAAAAATAACAGAGAAAAAGAAACAAAGAAAAGAGCTAAAGAACCAAAAGTCAAAAAAAGAAAATTTAAGTCGAATGAAAACAAAAACAAAAGAAATAAATAATAAAATTTGTTATTATTTCTAAAATAGAAGTTAATAAACAACTAGCTATAACAAACAAAAAATACAAGATGACGAGTGATTAGTAGATATAAAAATAGAAACAGAAATTTTTAACAAAGAAATAGAAAGAAACAGAAGGAAATAGAAGTATTTGGAACAAAGAAGAAAAACTAATTATCTGATATAGAAATTAGGTACAAACAAATTGCCAAAATTGACAAGCAATGGGATATTCTATTTTTAAAAGAAGAAAAAATATAAAAAAACCATGCAGTAGTACAATTTTAATACATATACACAGATAAATTTTGTGTTAGTATATAGAAAAATTTGTACAAACATGTGTTAAAAATTGATAAACTTATATAAATATTTAATTTGCAATTTGTATAAACATGTGGTTTTAAGCATGGGTTCTACGATAATTAAACAAAATATAAATAATAGAAAGCATGGGTTAAACAGAGCAAACATGTGGGTAGCAAGTAATTAATTAATTAATTGCCATATGGTTACAATTAATTAAAGAAATTACAAATCCTAACAACACAATAAGAGGAACAGAAGATATAAAAATGATTAAATTTTTCTTTTTTTGAAGCTAACAAAACTACAAGAAACAGATAAAAATAATTATTCTAACTGATACCCAAACAACTATCCAATCTACTATTCTTCTTACAACTGAAATATCTAACTGGTTGAACTTTAAAGTTTATAACCAAATCAAGAAATTTAGGCAATTTCTTCTCTTTCATAAATATAAAGGAACTATTATCTTTGAATCTGGAAATACTATTGTTATGAAAAGTATAGAAAAGTTTGCTAATTTCTTCTAACTGCCCAAAAATAAGTTGGACAAAATTAAAGAGAATTTGGTTTATACAACTTCTGTTCAAATCAAACCAATAACTGTCTTGTATTCTAGTATTAAATCTTAGAAAAAATGTTTTGACACCACTCTTGCCAAATACAAAAAGGCTATTGAACAAAATAATAAAGGTTGTATTCATGCATTAGCCTATACCTATTATCTAGGAGAGTTGTTGAATAAACAACCTAAAGGAAGTGTTGTTAAAATCTCTCATATACAAAGAAAAACTTAAACTCGAGTTTATATACTATTTTATAATATAGGATATAAACAAATCTACTGAACCAAATATATTTTTCTACAAATCTTAGACAAAATAGATGTTATAAAATTTTGGAATCTTGTAATTTATGTTCAAGCACTTAGGAACAGAGATTAAAATTTATGGAGTAAATTTCTAAAAGCAGAGGAAACTATTACATTACGAGTTTATAATATTGTATAAATAGTTTGTAAAATAGTATTTCATATTATATATTTTATATTTTATATTTTGTATTAGTTAAATTTTTTTTTTTTTTTTTAACGTCTACCCTCTTGGGAGCTGGGATTTTTATTCAAGTATATATAGCAAGGAGTTCT